CCTAGCTCACAGCAACCTCAAACTCCTGGGCTCAAGCGATCCTCCTGCCTCAGCCTCCCGGGTAGCTGGGACTACAGGCATGGGCCACCATGCCCGGCTAATTTTTTCTATATATTTTTAGCTGTCCAATTAATTTCTTTCTATTTTTGGTGGAGACGGAGTCTTGCTCTTGCTCAGGCTGGTCTCGAACTCCTGAGCTCAAACAATCCACCCGCCTTGACCTCCCAGAGTGCTAGGATTACAGGCGGGAGCCACTGCGCCCGGCCTGTTAATAGCTTTTAAACTTCTGAGCCTGCTGCTGATGCTATTGATGATGATGAAAGAAGATAATAGTAATAGTAGTGCATGTTAATGACTCTCCAGATGCTAATATAACATGTACCTGGGAAAAAAATTGCAACATTTTTAATAGGATGTCCAGTGAATACTAAGGTTCTTCTCTCATCCCAGATTTCTCCTAGGCATGCATGACTACCAGATTCTTTTATAAACTTCCAAAGCTATGCTGTACATAGTCAAGTACCCCCTTTTTGTTTCTGCCTCGTTTTGTTTCTATTGTCCCCACCCCTGCTTTTATATCAAATGGGAGCGTAATATATGTTCTCTTTTGGACCTAACATTTTCTCATTTAACCATCTATCTTAGAATTACTTCCCTATCTCTATGTGTGTGTGTGTGTGTGTGTACATGATATACATATATGTCATTCTTTTAACAGCATGCAAATTATTTAACCAATCTTTTATTGTTAGAATTTTAGATTGTTTCCAGTCTTGCTACCCTTAACTGCTGCTGTGAACATTTTGGTACATGTATCTTTGTCAGAGGTTGAAAAATTAGAAGCCCATGGCTATATCTGGATCTGAGACTTATTTTGGAGGGATCCTTCTTTGGATCAAATATCATACATTTTCAATAAAAGATTTAGATTTCAAGCTGGAAACTCTAGCAAGAGTGGGGCCATATTCATGAAGGCAGAAATTCTGGCTCTTAGTAGTGATCATTCCTTGTAGATGGATCCCATACTCTCTAGTCTTCCCATAGTCCTTTCAACTCCTGTTGTCTTTCTGTAGGCCAGATTACATTGCTGTTTGGCTCCTGAGAGCACTGGGTTTGTGTTCCTGTTTGGTGCATCAGTATACATCCCAAAGATGGTGGTTCCCAAATGTTTTTGTCTTATGTGTTCACCACCTTGTGTTCACAAGAACATCTGGGATTCTGCTGTTCTTTTTTTTACTGGGAACTGAGAATAGCAAGCTTTTCACTCAAATGAGAATGGGAAAGGATAGGAAACCCCAAAGATCTAAAAATACAAGTTGACATTTTAGCTTAGGGGACTGGGAGTAATGGGATGAGTCTTTATCGAGTTTGCTGCCTTTTTGGAATCATCTCCCCATATCAGGTTGCTTTGTGGCCCTAGACGAGTTCACTGTCTTGACTAGCTTGGTTCCCCTCTCTATGGAGAATTTATTGAGTCATAAAATTATCAAGTATTGCTATTAGATGCTTCTCATCTTTCTCTTTCAAAGCTGGCTGCAACTATTGGTCAGCTCCAATGCAGCCATTGATCTTTGTTTTGCCCGCGACGTTACAGATGATTTCATGGATAGCCACTCACTTTCACCCCAGCTCTCAGAGCCCCAGAAGTATAAATGACCCAACTGCAAAATCTTAAGGTATGACCTTCAGCCCTGGCCTCACAATAAGCCCACTCCTTAATTTGCCTTTTTATGGGTGTCCTAACATTTTCCTGCTTACCTTCCTCTCTTTCATTATTTGTTCTGCCCTTTGCCTTTGCCAAATGACAAGAGTTCTTTCTATTTCACATTTGTTCCCAAGACCATTTGGGGGGTAGGAAGAAAGGTGTTGGAGTTCTCAAACTTTAATTTCCACTTCAGGAAGCTATCCCTCTTCAGATAACTCTTCCGATTTGGGGCTGCCCAGTAAAGTTTGACTGATACTAAGGCCAGAACAGATGCCCAAAGGATTTGAACAAGATTCAATAACCCAGTATTTGCTGTGTTTTTAAATTTCCTTCTTATTGTGTCTTACTCCCTGAGTGTCTCTCTAGTTTTTTAAAAAAACTTTTCAATGTTGTAATTTACAAAGTTGAGAAAATAGTTTAATGAACTCCTGTGTTCCCATCATCTAGCTTTAGTAATTACTAGTTTGCCAACCTTGTTCCATTCCATATATTTTTTCCAATTTTTATTATGGAAAAATTTTAAAGTTTAAAGAGCAGTATCATGATCATCCATAAACTTACCATCTACACTCAATGTGTTGAGTTGTTAATATTTTGCCATAATTGCTTTCTCAATATACCTATATGAACCATATGAAAGTCTGTTGCATACATCCATACATCATGACCCCTCCCTTAAATATTTCTTTCTTTCTTTTTTTAAAAAAAAGATGAGGTCTCTGCTTTGCCGCCTAGGCTGGAGTACAGTAACACAATCACAGCTCACTGCAGCCTCAAATTCTTGGGCTCGGGCCATTCTCCTGCCTCAACCTCCTGAGTAGCTAGGACTATAGGCACTAGCCACAGTGCCCGGCTAATTTAAATTTTTCTCAGAGATGGGGTCTCACCATGTTTCTCAGGCTGGTCTCAAACTCCTGTCCTCAAGTGATCCTCCCGCCTTGGCCTTTTATCATTCAGTTAATGTTTGAATTTTCCCAGTTGCCCCTAGAATATCTTGTATAGCTATTTTTTTTTCAAGCCAGGGGCCAACCAAGAGCCACACATTATATTTGGTTGTTTTTGCCTTTTTAATTTTTTTCTTCCTCCTCCCTCTTCTCCTTTTTTTAAATTCCACTGTCTTTTTGAAGAGAGGAGGCTGGAATGTCCCACATGGGGGATTTGGAAAATATCTCCTTGTATTGTGTTGGTGTTTAACTTGTTCCTTTATCCTTTGTAAATTTCCTATAAATTATAAATTAGAGCTAATGGCTTGATTAGATCAAGATTAAGCATTTTGACGGGAATACTTTATAGATGATGCAGTGTACTTACTGCATTTTATCAAGGACCACACAATGTCAAAGTTGTCTTGTTATGAGTGATGCAAAGTTTGATCACTTACATACTTGCGTCAGGTGGCGATTGCCAAATCTCTCCATTTGAAGTTACTTTTTTTTTTTTTTAACTGCGTGATTTGCAAATAATCTGTGTGGTGATATTTGGTACCATGATAATAATCTCTTCCCTGACAATCTTTCTCTTAAAATTTTAATGATTGATGACACTTGCCTGAATCAGTTATTTCATTCTGGGTTGCAGAATGGTGATTTTCTAACTCTTTCATTCTTTCTACATTAGATGGAACTCTTTAAAAAAGAGCTTTCCCTTAGCGATTACGGATGAACTATAGTTCTTCCTAAAAAGGGAAGGTGAATGCTTAATTCTTTCCTTTTAATTACCAATTTCCAGAGTAAGGAGTTGTGTAATATTCACCTCCAACTTGGCAAATTAGTTTTCCCCCCCTTTTTTTTTGAGTATCACTATAGACCACTGGGTTTTCTTCATCCCTTCTCTTTTCCCCACCCATCGCTTTTTCCTTCTCCACTTCTTGATCCATGGCGACTGCCACCTTTCTCCACACTTAACGCCTGAGCTTTCCAGCTGGTCCGCTAGGGGCCACTGGTTTACTACCCGCCCCCACGCTGTCTCTCTATCATACTGTTCGTCGTTTGCTAGCACCCATTGTCTCTCTGGTGCTGACTGTGTCCAAGGAGCCGCTCTAGGCTGATGGGAGGCCGTCCGCATTGCGTGGGGAAGGCTTGGACAACGCAGTCGCCTCGCCGGCCCCCGGGGCGGTTAGCGCTTCCGGGGTCGAAGGGTGCGCGGGGTTGAAAGCAGGCCGCTCCGCCCCGTCCCCCTCCCAGACCAGCAGAGGCAGCAGCCGGAGCAGCCGCAGCCTGCGCCCTCTCCCGCCCGCCC